AGGCAGTACGTTAGCCAACAAATATGCCTCGACAAATTTGTGATTGCCACCGTTAGCCTCGTCCGGCTGCAAAGGGTTTCGAAAAAGGCAATGAAAAAGTTCGGCGAAAATTTTTCGAGTTGCCGTCTTTGGCCGCCCTAGGCACCAGTGGCAAGCGTAACGTGCAACCCTATTTGCCACCTTTGGCCATCGATGGCCGCCGGAAGCGCCACCGATGGCGTGTTGACTTGGTACCTATAGCTTTGTGTTTATCAGTGTTTTATCATCGGTGTCTCCGAAACCATGGTCAGGTTTGAGTCTGAGGGGACATCCGATTAGTGGCGTTTGGTTACGCCAGATGTTCCTAGGAAGAGGGAATCCTCCCGCGATGGATGAATTACTCACGCTTCTTAGCACATGTGCCGTACATGTCAAGAGATCATCTACCTCGCAGAGCTCTTTTTGCCCATGCCTGTGCTAAGTGGAAGCGACCAAGAGATGGACACTGTATGATGAATTACGAAAATACTAACCAGTAAACTGAGCCGAGTCGACAACTGCCGCCTCCCTGGATGGGTACCCGAGGACTCAACTCATCAATGGGTAATGACACTGGGAGAAATGGTTCAATCGCACATTGAACCATAGGAACTCTCTATGAGAGACTCAGAACTACAGTCCGTTCGGCGTAAGTAATCGGGAAGCGATGAATCTATCTTTCTCCGCTCTTACTTCAATCTGAGCAGCCTACTGTTTGTAACGGGGGGCCGTGATCTTACTGTGCTATGATTTCACCATTAAATGTCCCACCTGAAAACAGCAGACAGGTGTATGTGCCTTCGTAACTGATTGATTCTCATGTATCGACAGACAACGTCATAGTAGTTGCCGTGAAGCAGGAAATCCATGATGTGGTGTTGGATACCTCGAACCAACTACCAGTTACTTTTGACGTGGTTCGGGATGTACACAATGATGGAAAAGTACTACAGAAAGCAATGGGGTATCACCGAACGAGCTAACCAAGAACCTATCCTACAGAAGAATCTAGACCACTATTCCAACGGCGAAGTTCGTTTGCTTTTGACGATTGCCTTCTTCTAGTGATCGGATCATCTTCCCTACCAAGCTTTGCCGTGGAATCTTGTCCTAGTCTCA